TGGTCTCCATGGCAGTGTGCATAAAAAACTGAAGTGAAGTGGTGAGAAAGGTGCGTTGGATGTTCAACAAAAGTTTCAGAAGAGGTAGAAGGAAGAATGTTGGTAATGAAAGATTTTAATCTTTCCCTCCCCTTTTCGACCATTATAATGATGATTTTGCAGACCTGGGACAGAGGAAAAAAGTTGTCATGTCAACAATCTCCGTCCTTGAGATGTGACTCTTGACATTCTCTAGGAGACGGAAAATTGTTGAGTTACGAAAAAATGGAGTTTAGGGTTTCGCCCCCTCGGCTCACAATGACAAGTTGGGCCCGTAGAGTCAAATTGGGTATAAAGAGATCTGGCATTACAATTCGGTAAGACTAGAATACAGGTGCGATGGGCCAATGGATCGTTCTTTTTCGGGCCAATTGGTTGCAAAGTCAGGAAGCACCACTTAGATGGTTGGGGCATCCAAAGACTGAAGCGGCGCGCCCCGTGAAGTAATCGATTCGGGTGGTTTGAGGTTTAGGGGGTAACCGTCAGGCCCGTAACCACGTAACCGACTCTAACCACTCGGAAACGATCTGGGCAAATGGATATAAGCGAAGAGCAGGGGCTAAAAAAGATACACTGGACAACACAAGAAAATTGTGAACAACTTTAGATTTTAGTTTTCTCGTAATTCTAGTTTTCGTTTCCTGTTTATATTTTTGGGTTTTTGTATTAGAACTCTAGCGCTTAGGGATTCATATGTGATCTCATGCACAACTCATCAAGTTCGAAATTTACTTTCGAATTATACTTTGTTTTTTTTGGATTTCTCAAGCCGGTAATTATTTTATTGCTATGCATAGTAGATCTGACATATTATATTATATACTAACACCATTTTTTTTGCGTTTTTGTAGTTTTGCAAGCTTTTTCCACAAGCTAATAGATTCTATCAACAATGAGCAAGAGTTTGATCTAGAATGGTATTTAATGATATCGACATGCTTTCCAAATGGAGCTCATAAATGGATATATTCAATGCATACATTGAGCATAAATTGTTTTCTACATGGATGATACAACGATTCGCAACAGGAATGAGAACTATCCAACTTAGTGAATTAGTAAATGAGGTTATAATAAATTATTGGCAATTGGAACACAATTTATTACAATTTTTCAGTCATTTGAAAGGGTGGTTGATAGCCGAAGAAATGAAAAAGCACTGCATGACTTCTATGCTTGTGACTGTCAACATGCAACAAATTTTTCATGCAATAAGATAGTTTACATCAGTTGTTGTTTGTTACACACCATCACTGTTTAAGATCTTTAATAGAAGTGCATTTGTTGTTCTATTTTTGTCTTTATTTTTTGTTTATATATGTATACAATAATTATGTTTAACAGTTTGTTGATATTTTAATAGGTTTACATCTTCATAGGAGTGATGAGGAGATGCGAGATATTGTTGTTTCTATGTGACAGACATATTTGACTGACTGAATGAATGATTTTGATTCTAGAATACTTTGGTAACAAGTTATTATTACTTGTTTGTGATATGAGAGATATAAAGGTTTTTTTTTTTTTTTTTTTAAGAAGTTTTGTAACTTTTTTATTTATAGATGAAATTTTGTTTTTTGCTATTCAATATTTATTTATTGATTTTTTGTTATTTAGTTTAACTATGCCTTAATTATGTATTATTATGTGTTTGTTAGTTGATAATTTAAATATGCTAAATGGTTATAAAGGTTTGTTATTCGTGACTTGGATATAATCTATTTGCAAGACTATGAAGAAGTTGATGAGTCGGAGCAGTGGGAACCAATTTGATATTCACTCAAATAAGTATAAATGGAAGTGTATTTGATGTTTATGTTTATGTTTTTATTTTTCTTCTTTAATATATGAAAAAATAATTATGTTTAACAGTTTGATGTTGTTTTTTTTTAAGGATTGGACCTTCATATTTCTTGGATCTGATACCTACAATTGGTTTAGAATTTAGAAATTAATATATAGATCTTCTGATTGATTTTTATAAATTTGTTATGTATCTTTATGTTTTCTTTTTCGGTTCAATCTTATGGTTTTTCTTTAAAGTTTCGTAACCTTATTTGAGAATATGTTATTTGATTGTCCTTTCAGTTGTTGAATTTTGATGGGTGTAATATCACTGTGAAATTTTGCAAATGAGTAAGTTCTGGATGTTTTCTTTCCTAATTAAATATATGGTTAGTATTGGACTGTTGGTATTGGTCATGATCCAGTGCCATAGAACTTTTGTCTATCTGCTTGCCTTGCATGCCTGTAAGGGAAGATCATATAAGAAACAATCAATCTTAAATGAATAACCATTGAATTTCACAAGTTTTGATCTGCATCCGATCATATCAGTCCAAAGGCATACATGCATAATAATAATAATAATAATAATAATGTGCATGGTGAAAGGAAAGATGCAAAACACATTAATTAATTTGTTTGCGCTACAAACTCCTCATTGACCAAAAGTATTTCAATAGTTAAGTTAGCGAGCGGCCCTTGCTTGAGGCCTAGGTTCGATTCCGGTTGAATGCGTATATACTTGATTTAACATTATAAAAAAATTAACTATTCAACGAAATAAAAGTCAAAACTAATATATGGGTTTAGCTTGTTATTTTTTAATGAACAATATTGTAGTAGTCACAATTTGTTGTTCCTTTGGTCCTTCTATCCAAACATGTTATAGTATATAGATATGTAGTCATCAATCTGTTATGATTCCCACTGCAAAGGTAATATACTTATATGTATGCAAATCAAATGAACAATCAGCCAAGGGTCTCATATAAACATTGTTTTGAAACTACAACTATAGACAACAAACCATAAATAAGTATATAACATATTTGAAACTATCAACTAACAAAGTTATAATTATGAATAATAACGGTATAATCTCATAAATAACCAACAAAATTTTTCAATATAGCCAGTACAATTTTATGAATAATAACAATCAAGTCACTTTTACTTTCCAGTGTCATCACCACTTTCTCCCCTACTACTAACATAAGAAAATTACAAGCTACAAACCAGAACAAACACACAATAAGGTTTGAATTTCTTCGTGTGACTAATTCTCGGTAGTGAATGAGAGCTAAAGCAACGGTAACAAAACAACTAAAACATGAATGAAGTATACACCACAGGATCAGGGGTGGCGTCATCCTTGTACATGACCCATGGAACGCCGGTATCCAATCCGACAGCATTTTTGCCGCCCAATTCATGTAGGAATAGCCGGCTTGCCCAAGGACAATCCTCGGTGCCCAAAATTCATTTTCAACATGTCGAAGAAGAGTCAAATCATTGCACGATTTAATCTTGAGGTTGATCGAGACCGGAGCTCACAATTCACGAACCTGAGATATTATAATAGGCCCCCCTGTGAGGCAAACCAATTTTAACGTTTTAACATGCCGGCGATTTTATGCAAAAACTGCTGCATTGCCATTTATTCTCCATTAGCCCGAACACATTCAAGCAATCCTTCTTTGTTGACCATCATCAATCCCAATCTGATGAAAGACCGGTTGTTTTGTTGTTGCTGCCACTACTTTCTCGTAATCATCATGTGCTTTGTCAACAATTCTTTAATCAGTTGCAACTCCATCAGGCACATTCTCAGTTCCACACCATTCCAAATTACAATATATCCATTTTCAAAAATAATAATACAATATATCAGTAGTAGAAACAACTAATATAACTTGTCCATTCAAAAAACTAACTAATAGAAACTACAAACTATTTAGAAAATCACAATTTCTGTCTTGATCTTTATCTAAATATATTCTTTACAGTTCTGTTTCCTCACATGCTTATTTTGTTCATTGTAGATTATTAGCTTGTCAAACAAATCAGATTCCTTGTCATTAGCATCTTGGAAAAGTAACGCAACAAATACTTCTGTTCTTTTTGCATTCAAAATATTCACATCTTTGAAGTGCTCCAAGACACTATTCGCAATATGACCATTGAAGTAATCCATATATAAAGCTACCATTACACTGCAAGAACAGGTGTCTTGGCCGATGAAGGATTAGTCAAATATTTATTTACTTATTTCATTCAAAAGAAATTATTTAAAGTATTTTACATTTTTTATTTGTATAAAACTTGTGTATTTAGGTCTTTATTTAGAATCATACATCAGAGGGTGTTCGTACAAAATTTACATTAACACAAAGAAATTTCACCCAATAAATAAAACACAAGATATCTTGTGCATTTTTACGAATGAGGTGTTATATAATTTACCATTTCTACGTGTCATTAGTTGAATAATGTCAAACATTAGTCCTAAAATAATATCATAACATTTTCATTTTGATGTAATACAACTTCTTTGGGGTCGGGTGAATTGAAATACTCCCTCCATCCCATTGAAAGATTGTCATTTTCTATTTTCGTCTGTCCCAAAACAAAGTTACCATCTCCTAATTTAGTAATTGTACTATTTACTTAACATAATAAATACCCTTTCAACTTACGATATATTACACAAGTGTCATTACTTTTATATTACACCGTACTAATAGAGATATTTTTGTTTTTTTTATTATAATCCAATATAATACTAATATTCAAAAGTTTACGTGAAAAACCAAATGCCACCAATGAGACAGAGAAAGTACCAAATTTTATGTCTCTGACTTATCAATATACAAGAGAAATCAATATTCATGTCATGGGACATAAAAACTACAAAAATTAAAAATAAATAAAACTTTGACATTGTATTAAAGATTTTAATCAAATAATATATTTTAATTAGAAAATTAAAAAAAACAAAAAAAACAAATCAAAACAAAAGAAACGCACCCTAACGGGGGGTCAAGGAACGCATGCTGTTTTAGGATCAAATGGTTGGTGTACGAAATTCTTCTCTTGGGTTTTCTGAGTTTTTATATATTTTATGCTCCACATTTTAAAATCTAAAATTTGTCCCGCCGATTTCAAATAAGGGAGAAATGGTGGGGAAAACTGTGAAAGCTTCATTCCCTTCCAACCTCGAACGCACTGTTGCCTCCGCGCTTCTCCTCCTATCGTCTTCGGCTGCTTCCAAGTAAGTTTTTCCATCATTGAGCACCTTGTGATGATTGGTATGTATTTGACGCCGTTGTGATCGTATACTTTTTGTGTATGATTTTGAGTTTTGTTCTTTATTGTTTTAATTGGCGGCATGAGGAAGGAGCGAGGATTGCTGCAGCGCAGAGAGTCGTGAGAGTTCGGGATGTTCAGCTTCAAAATCTGAAGGCGGATCGTGGAGTGTGGAGGCGAGCGCAGGCGGAGAACCATCGCATGAGCAGCCGCTGAGGGTGGACGCGTTTGTGCCTGCATATCAGGAGCTGAAATTTAAGGTGCTTCGCTGATTGGCGCTCTTTGTTTTTTCTCGAGAAATCAGTTGCATAACTGCATAGATCTGTGCCTGTTTGCTTTGTAATTCAATTCATGATTCTGCTTTATGATGGAATTAATCAGTTACAAGTGCGTTTGCTGCGTTCACTTCCCTGGAAACCTTAGTTTCTACAATGTAATCGTAGGTAAGAGATTTCACACAACTAATGTTTGTTTGCGAAGCTGATCGAGATTCCAGAGTTGCTCTATCAACATATGTCCTAGCTGAATCCTGTTGTTTTCCCGTTTCATAAGCTTTTCTGTTTCCTCTATTTTTGTTGATTGTGAACTTGCTCTTATGGCGCCAGATGGTTATACAGTTTGCTATCGTCTGTGAATTCAAATTTGACTGTGAGACACTCATGGAATCTCAGCTATATAGCGATTGAACTGCAAATGAAGCTGTGTCTTGAAATATGCATATGAATTGATAATTGGATTTCTATGTTAATTGTAACCAGGAACTCCCCTGTTTTTCCATGATATGTTTCGTGATATTACTACGTTTCTCAGATAGTGCAGAAGAAACGCTCGAAGAGCGTCTGGATCTCCGACAGTAAGAAACTGAAGACCACAAACCCGGAGCCTATTTCTGCTCCCACATCAAGTGATAGTGTGTCTGAAATAACCACCACCCAAGCTTCATCCAGCTTTTCCAGCAGCTCCAGTGCGCAAAGTGCCAGTAGCAAAACTATTTCTGACAAGAAGTTCAACAAGTCCGCCATTCCCGGACACATGGGACGCAAAGCTGCAGCTATTCTCAGGATTCTATCTAATGGAAGTGCTTCTGAAGTGAGGATTCGGCAGTTGCTCGGCGACAGCCCTTCCACAAGCAAAGCCTTGAGAATGTAAGCACTCTTAATCGTTTTCTCTACTGTCTCTATATATCTCATGAACACACATTAGGCTGGACATTTGCCACAGCATATGATTCCATGATCTTATTTTGCTGCATCAACATGTTTTACAGAGGCAATGTGCTGTCATTCTTCGCATTGAACTTCAATTCATTAATGTGACACAGAATATTCTGAGCTACTGACAATAAATCTGGTAATGTGCAGGTTGTTGAAGCTACAAGAGGTGAAAAGATCAGGATCTGGAGGCCGTATTGATCCTTACACTTACATGGTAATGTTGCTTCCTAACTAAAATAATCAAATCAATTTCTTGCCCATCAAATATACTGCGAATCATTATCCGGTCATAAACAGTTGCAGATCGTGTCTCTAGATAGTCAATGAGACAATTTTTTTATTGAATTTACCTTGTTCATTTTACAGATAGCATAATAAGTTACATCCATGGAGTTTTAAATTCAGTCCAGGAAGGAGTTGGTTTTTTAACACGCCACAATTCTCTAACATACAGGTAAATACTGAACCCAATTATCCATCACTTTCTTTGCTTAGTTGTTACATAAATAGGCATCTTATGTTCTCTTAGTAGATTCAATATGTATAGTGCATTTGTACACTTGGGGAAATAATTGTGACACCCACTTTTTTTATGAAGTAGGTGCCCGTATGTTTTAAATGACAATCCATAGGTCAATTAAGAAAATATGTTCATGTTTTCAGTCCATATTCTTTAGAAATATGTAAGTCAGTTCCATTTCGATTCATTACTCTCTTGTTTTTCATTTGTTTTCTTCTTTGTGGGCCGGGCCACCTCAGTAGTAGTACCCGTTGGGCTATGAAATATACCTTAAGCCCAACTTAGTTGGCTGAATTGAGCTTTCTCTGATGATGAACAACTTGCCTCTCTAATTTAATTCTAGATGTCAGCATAAATGATGTCTAATAATACTAGAATATGTTGGTCACACACATAGTGTGTAAATAAGATGCCTCTAAAAATAGACTGGTGGGGGCCCAAAATGCCATAGACAAGAGGGACAATGCATGATACAATTGTCATGATGCATGTCCCTTAAAGGGCATACCCCATCTCAATCACTACCAGTGATTTCACACCCTAATTTCCACCTCTTCCCCCACCCCCCAACCCTTTTCCACCTTTCCCTTTTGTGGGCCCCACTCCTTATATATATATATATGTATGTATGTATTTGTATAGAGAGAGAGAGAGAGAGAGAGATGTGATGTTATTATACATTATTTATATTGATCACCTAAAGTGGACACCCACCCCCATCCCATCATGCACATGCCATTAGCCTTTTGGGGGGGAAAAGGGGCTCAGTGGAGTCAATTCCCATGAAAGAAATGAAGCTATAGTGATGAGATGGTGTGGGTTTGGATTGGACTGGATTAGAGAAGAGGTGGGATTTTTAGATTCTTGTTAGTGTTTGGTTGAAACAAGTAGAGACAGCCACAGGAATTTCTGTTTATTACTTGGGACGAAGCTTTCACTCATTTGAGATGTAAGAATATTGTATTATATATATATATATATGTACGTATGTTTGTATGTGTAGGTGCACTAGCTAGCTAGAATCTCATTTATTACTGAAATTAACAAAAGTGGTGAGTTTGAGGGAACATGTAGTAATGTTTACACATGAATGTGGTTACACATTTGTTGCTGCAGAAAAGTGGATTCCAACCATTTGTAATCCCTGTGTTTCTTCTTTTACTGCTCTTTTAACAGAGTTGAGCTTCAAGAGTGTGCACATATGTGTTTGGACAATTAAAAATAGTACTAGGATTGAAATCTTCTCTTCTCTTGAATAACTATATATACATATATATATATATATATAACATACTCATTTTATAAAACAAACATTACCTATGAACTTTACATTCAAAATTGCTATTATATTGTCCTATTAGTCACTGGCATGAGATGAACTTGTGACAGTAAGATACTCTTTCCGATCCCCCATTGGATGTCTGGGTCACTGTAAACATGAGAATTTAGAATAAATATAATAGTAGATAATTAAGAATGTATTAGTGAAAATAATTATTATATAATATAAATAATTATAAATTAAAGTTAAAGATGACTAATTAATTTAATTAAAATTAAAAAAAAAATAAAATTTAAGGATATCCTTTTATGGTAAAAGACAGGTTTTTTTTTTTTTTTTTTTTTTTTCTTGTATGTAATATGCTATAATATTCTTTTATGTGTGTATAAATTATAACATGATATGCTTTCTTTGTATCTTTAGTAATATATTATTCCAGAATATTTATGTCATTTTTTGGTAAGAATATTAAAAAATAATATTATTTGATATAGAAATGAGATGTATAAAAGAAAATAGAGATATTATGAAATTTTATTTAAAAGTTAATGAAACAAAATTAGTATGGCAAGCAAAAAAATTGTATAAAATGGTTATTATCAATTGAAGGATGTGTAATTATAGATTTGAGTGGATAAAATATTTGATTATAAATAGACTATGCATTACTCTAAATAAAAAATAAATTTACTACATAATCATCTCGGACTAATGTTTTTTTTTTCTCATGTACTATTTTATAGCAAATTGTATAAAATGAAATATTTTGAAATGAACTTATAAATCAATTAAAGTAAATTAAAAGAGATTTGGCATTTAATGTCTCTTTGACCCTTTTAGAATATATATATATATATATAAAATGAATCAATTATAGATATCTTTTTAATTGTCTATCTTTTTCTTTTCTCAAGTCCAACAAAAAATATACATAATGATTTAATTTAAGAGATCAAAATACAGAGGCTTCTTAAACGAGATTTGATGCGGGTGAGACATTACCGAAGTTTTAGTGAAAAAAAAGATAGAATCCAAGTGGATTTCTAGAAAGCTATTATATTGAAATGTACTTAGAAGACACATTATTAACACCTAAAATAATAGAAGTTTTTTTTTAAAAAAAAGTAACTATTGTATATGCTCTTATAATAACTGTATCTTTAAAAGAATTTCAATGAGGAGAGATGAATAAAGTTCAATTAAACTCAGATTATTATTATTATTATTATTATACTTATTTTTTTAATAAACTTTGAATTAGAGAAAATAAAATATGATTATCCACAGCAATAGCTAGTGAGATTAGATATATGTGTGACACTTTTGACTAGTGTTGTTAGTAATCTTATTATGAAAGGGAATTATGAAGAGTCTTGGATCATATATAGTATAGTATTAAAATTTTAGAGTGAAGGACAAAAGCTAAGGGAGATGTAATAAAATGATAGGATAGGTGTGTTTGAAGTTTGCATACACAACACAACACATAAAGAGCAATCATGAAATGCCCAAAGTTGTAGCCAAATTCCTTTATTCCTGCAACTAATCACTCTCCATTATATATATATATTGTTATTCTTTACAAAACCCATAAATAAACAAATATCACCCATCATTGCATTCTCAATATGCATGCATTTACAAGCCCAATCAAATGCTACTCCTGTCTATTTTCTAACGTCTTATTCCGTCTATTTTCTAACTTTTTATTTGATATTTACACGTATTTTTAGGCGATTATAATTTTTATTATAAAATGACAAATTTGTCCTTAATCTTGTGTATATAAAATGAAAGAGTAAATAAAGTAATGATAAAAGAGTAAATTTTGTGTATAAAAATAGAAAGAGGACAATAATTGTTGCACATTCCAAATAAAAAAGTAGAAAGTTAGTTTGTGGACGGAGGGAGTATTATACAAACAAAATTAATTAATTAATTGATTAATTATATATATTAACCAACACAAAATAAACTACTTTCTAGGAAAATATCCAAACATTTACAATTATAATAGTAATATTTTAAGAAATCAAAAGTAAAATACTAGTATATGATAATTGAGACGAGTATTTGTGAAGAGAAAATGGGCCCATTCCCATAATCACTTACACTGTTACACACACACACACAAACTCTCTCTCTATATCACTATATGTATATAATAATATTCACATCTCAAATTTAAATCATGATTCAATTCATCTATTTATGTGTTTGCCTTTTATTTATTATAATCTTTTTGAGGGCCAAAGTGGAACGAAGGCTTTCAATCATTCATGAAAAATAAAAATAAAAAGTGACAACAAAAGTGAGACCGGCGGAATGAAAGAAATATATATATATATCAATTATAAAAGGGGCACAGGGGCTAGTGAAACAGTTAAAACACGTGTCAACAGAAGAGAAATTAGTGGGCGGTTGAAAAGGCACGGGGGCTGGTGAAACAGTTAAAACACGTGGATGGGATTAGTGGGCGGTTGAAAGGAAATTTGGACAAAGGGCAAAATAGGTAATTCAAACACGTGTCAATGGAAGAGGAATTAGTGGACGGTTGAAAAAAATTTGGACAAAGACAAAATAGATAATTCCGGTGTCAAAACCCTACCATCAGCATATATTAGTAATAATATATCAATTATAAAAGGCATAGGCATATATATATAGGCATAGTTGCAGTATTTGTTCCCAATCATATCCGAAATTCCTCAACAAAAAAGTAGCCTCCTTTTGAATTTTGTTGAACCTTTCTCTAAACAAAATTTAAAGCAATTTTGTCAACATGAATCCTTAAATAAAAGGATAAACATTACCATGCTCATTGAATATAATTAACGTTAATTTTGTATTGAGATGTAATATAGTTGAAAGTATTTGTAAACGATTAAATTTATTCAAAATGAAATGTTTAATTGTATTTTTCTATAAAATTTTTATAATTTATTTTTAAATTTTATTAATTATATTTAAATATTTTAAATTAAAGTTTAAAAAATATATTTTTAAATTTTAATTTAAAAATAATATATAAATTATTAATTTTAAAATGAGATTAAAGTGTATAATTATATATTTTTTTTTAAAAAAATGATAATTTTTTCTGGGAAATATCTAAATGGAAAAAATTAACAATTTATGTGGGACAGGGTATAATATTTTTATGGGAAAAAAAATCAATTTTAGTCTCAATATAATCAAAATTTATCAATTTTGGTTCCAATATAAAACTCATCAATTTTAGTCATATTATAAATAATTTCAATCAATTTTGGTCCTATTATAAACAATTTCAATTAATTTTAGTACAACCGTTAAAAAAACTAACGGAAATTACCAGCGTAGACTTAACAAATGTGACGTGGCAGCTGACCTAGAAACTCCACGGCCATGTACAATTATACACGGTCATGTTGTTACACGATCATGTATATTTCAATGTATAATTATACATGACCATATTGTTACACGGTTGTGTACCTTTCTGTTTTAGTTTAAAATTTTATTTTTTTGTTATATATTTTTTTTTAAAAGTATATATTTTAAATTTAAAATGGTTGATATAGTTTAAATGAAAAAAAAAATCAATAATAATTATAATATAATTAAAATGTATCAATTTTAGTTTAAATATAAATATTTATAAAGTATGTTCTTTTGAAATATTTTCTAAAATTATACTATTTACCAAAAAAATTTCTCTTAAAAATATTCAATTGCAAACTATTTTTTATTTTTTTATAATATAGTAGTATTTAAAATTAATTTTACACTCCAATACAATTTCAAAAAATTTCAACATAGACATATATAATTGTATTGAAATAATAAATTAATTTTTAATACTACTATATTATACAAAACTAAAAAATAGTTGTGTAATTCGATATTTGTAAGAAGAATTTCTTCTTTTTTTTTTTAATGAATAATAGAATTTTAGACAAAACATTTCAAAAGAGATTGGATTTTAAATACACTATTCATTCCATTTTTTTCCCCAAAACATCAAATCAAATACCCATTTTTTATTTTTTATACTATACTAAAAATCAATTTTACATTCAAAACATCACATCAACACCTATTTATATCACATCATACAACTATTCAAATTCAAAATTTTTACTATTCAAATCATAACTCAAAATTCAAACCCCCAAACAAACACGTTATAAATTTTTATATTTGAATTATACATTTTAATTATATTATGATTATTATTGATTTTTTCCATTTTAACTATATCAACTATTCTAAATTCAATTTTTTTTTTTTTTAAAAACATAATAAAAAAAATTAAATTTTAGACCAAGATAGAAAAGTACACAGCCGTGTAAAATTATACATGGCCGTATAACAACATGGACATATATAATTACACACTAGAATATACATGGTCACGTGACAATATGACCGTGTATAATTGTATATGGTCGTGTAGTTTCCATGTCAGCTGCCACGTCACATCCATTACGTCCACGTCAGTAATTTCCGTTAGTTTTTTTTAACGGTGGGACCATAATTGATTGAAATTGTTTATAATGAGACCAAAATTGATTGAAATTATTTATAATATGACTAAAATTGATGAATTTTTTTATATTTGAATCAAAATTAATAAATTTTTGTTATATTAAAACTAAAATTAATTTTTTTTTTTTACCTATTTTTATATACTAATTGAAGCAGTTAATATGATGCTGATAAATCTATACTTAACACTCTAACCGAAGGAATATATTATATAATTCATAGCTAAGACTAAAAGTAAGATTTATTGTATGGCTTAATTCCCTCTATATGTATTTTGAATGTATAGTTTACATCAGAGTGCTTCTTTTGAAGAATTTTCAAATTTTTATTATTTAGAATTTGTATTTTTTAAAAAAAATATATTATTTTCTTTATCTCAATCAAAAAAATTATTTTATTTTTATTTTTGTCAGCCAAAAGTATTATTTTTATATTATCGAAGAAATAATAATAAATTAATATTAAAATATTTTTTTAATTTTTTACTAAAATTACAAATATCTAATTATATATCCAATTAATTTATATAAAATACAAAAATATTAAAACCATCTTATACATTATTTTAACTAATAAAATTTTATTATTATTTAATCTATTATAAAATCACATAAAAGACCAATCTAAATTGACATGGAGAGATTATTATTTTTTCTTTAAGACAACATATTATATAAATATAAAATTAAATTTTTAAATATTATACTCCCTTTATTTCCAAAGTAGAATATAAATGATTAAAATGCCCTTACTTGCTTTTTTTTTTAAAAGATTTTAAATAGTATGTTAGAGTAATAATCAGGGGTAGTATAGAAAAATAGGAGTAATTTTGTTATCAAGAAGGACCACGACTACTAAATAAGAAAATAAAATAATTATTTTGGAACCAACGGTAAATGAAAAAACAAAACAAATTTTTTTGGTAAGGTGGGAGTAATTAGTAGTGTCTACACTCTAACAGTAAATAATTAAAGTCCATTTATTGTCTGCATGAAACAATAAGGGAAAAATCAACAGGAATGGTAAGTGATTACTCAGATTAGAGGTGGAACCATTTCTTGAGAGAGAGAGCTCCCGGGACTCCAACAACAAACGCAACTACAAATTGGACCCACACTATAGACGGTCCAGATTTATCCAAAACCACAAGTCCCGGGATCTCTCAAAAATCAGTCAAGAATGTCTGTCTATGTTCCTACAGACAGCAATCACACTCTCATCTCATTGACTCAACACTGCTCATTTCTCGTGAAGCCTTCCTTCATCGATCCCTCATTACATTACATAAATCACAGTGGCAAAAGCACGAAACACCTGACCCCCTGAAATCAGTTTTCCTAAAACATTTTACACTTCGTCGTGTATTCAACCTGCACTGCATTTTCTTTCTTTCTTTTGTCCCAGGAAACCTACCTTTCTTGCAGGTCAGATCAGCCTTTTTCTCTCCACCATTTTTGAAACTGCTTCCCAGAATTGCAGCTTTTCTTGTTTCTCCTCCCCACATTTTGTGGCTGATTTTAAGTAGTACTACTGCATTTTGATCAAGAATGAATTTCTAATTAGATTAGCAGAAATGTATCTTAGGGCTGCATTTTGTGGGTCAAGAATTTCTTGAAAATGTATCTATGGAGCTTCCATAGTTTCCCCAAATCTCAAGAACTTTTCGGATGCCTTATTTTTATGGGAAAAAAGGTAAAAATTACTTTACTGAAAATGTCAAGTGTATTTATTACTATTCTTTGAGGTTACCTATGGAGGGAGGAGGGCTTTTTAGTTTCCCCTAAAGATGTATAGATGTTCTTGTTTTCTGAGCAAAAAAAAATTAAAAACCCTCTTTGATTCCCAAAATTGCTTTGCTTTCTTTGAACAGAAAATGCTGTTTTTGAGCTTGTTGAATATCATCCTTTTTGGGCTTCTGTCGACTTCTCAATCACAGCTCCTGAATGATGAACTGACATTGTTTGCAATTGGGCAAGAGTTGAAAATCACTGGGTGGAGTATGAACACTTCCCATTACTGCACTTGGCCAGGCATTTCTTGCTCCCCAAATTTTTCAGCTGTGCAAAAGCTTGATCTTTCCAATCAGAGGCTACAAGGTAATGTCACTGTCATTTCCCACCTCAAATCCCTCAAATGGCTCGATCTTTCTTCCAATTCCTTCCATGGCATCATCCCACCTGCATTTGGGAACTTATCTGAGCTTGAGTTTCTTGATTTGTCATTCAATCATTTTGAGGGCTCCATACCTCTGGAGCTCTCCAGGCTTAGAAATCTCAGGGCCTTGAATCTTTCCAACAATGAATTGGTTGGTTTGATCCCTGATGAGCTTCAGAGTTTACACAGTTTGCAGGATTTGCAGATTTATACCAACAGATTGAATGGTTCAATCCCTTCTTGGATTGCAAACTTAACCAATCTTAGAGTGTTCACTTCTTATGAAAATGAATTGAGTGGCGAAATCCCGAATACTTTAGGTTCAATTTCTGAGCTACAACTGTTGAATTTGCATTCAAATCGTTTGGAAGGATCAATCCCTGATAGCATTTTTCATATGGAAAAGCTTGAGACTTTAGTCCTGACTCAGAATCAGTTCAGTGGATACATTCCCGGATCGATCGGGAACTGTAAAGGGCTGTCGAGTATTAGGATTGGCAACAACAATTTGATCGGAGGAATCCCGGAGGAGATTGGAAATATCATTAGCCTCACTTACTTTGAAGCTAACAACAACAATCTGTCGGGCGAAATCACCCCCGAATTCTCCAAATGCTCGAATTTGACACTCTTGAATTTAGCCTCGAACGGATTCAATGGAACCATCCCCTCCGAGTTTGGCTTGCTAGGGAATCTGCAGGAGCTTATTGTTTCCGGGAATGCCCTGTCGGGCGACATCCCGACTTCTGTTTTCAGAGGAAAGAATCTCAACAAGCTCGATTTAAGCAGTAACAGATTCAATGGCAGCATTCCGGAGAGTATCTGCAGCAATTCGTCGAGGCTGCAGTATCTTTTGCTGAGTCGAAACACGATCAGAGGGCAGATACCGAGCGCGATCGGGAACTGCTTGAAACTGCTTGAATTGCAGCTGGGAAGTAATCTTTTGAGTGGAAGTATTCCTGCTGAGATTGGGAGAATCAAGAACTTGCAGATTGCTCTTAACTTGAGCTTCAATCGTCTGCACGGGCAGCTGCCGGAGGATCTTGGGAGGCTCGACAAGCTTGTGACTTTAGATGTATCGTATAATCAGATCAGCGGGAGCATTCCCGCCGCGCTCCGAGGGATGCTGAGTTTGATCGAGGTGAATTTTTCGAACAATCGTCTAACCGGGGCGATACCATCGTTTGCGCCATTCCAGAAGAGTTTGAATTCAAGCTTTCTCGGAAACAAAGGGCTCTGCGGCGAACCGCTGATCGTTTCGTGTCAGTCGAAGAACGGGAACGGTTATTACCACCACAGGGTGTCATACCGTCTCGTGCTGGCGGTGATTGGCTCGGGATTGGCCGTGTTTGCGTCTGTGACGGTCGTCGTTTGCCTGTTCATGATGCGGGAGAGGCAAGAAAAAGCGGCGAAAGACGCTGCCGAGGCCGGCGAGGGTGAAGATGGAATCGGCGACAGCTTGGTGATATTAGCAGGGAATGTGTTTGTCGAGAATCTTCGACAGGCTGTCGACTTCGAAGCTGTGGCGAAAGCGACGGTGAAGGAATCGAACAAGATCAGCGTTGGGACGTTCAGCGCTGTGTACAAAGCGGAGATGCCGTCGGGGATGAGTTTGTCGGTGAGGAAACTGAAATCGATGGATCGAACAATTATCAATCATCAGGGGAAGATGATCCGCGAAGTCGAAAAACTTAGCAAGCTCAGCCACGACAACTTGATGAGACCGATCGGGTTTGTTCTATTCGAAGACGTTGTCTTGCTGCTGCACAAGCATTTCGAGAACGGTACGTTGGCGGAGTATCTCCGGGACTCGACTAAGAAGCCTGACTGGCTATCGAGGCTCGCAATTGCGATCGGCGTCGCCGAAGGTCTCGCATTTCTACACCATGTGGCGATTCTCCATCTCGACATTTCGTCAGGGAACGTCGTTTTGGACACGGATTTGAACCCGTTGGTTGGCGAAGTTGAAATTTCGAAGCTCCTCGATCCATCCCGGGGCACGGCGAGCATCAGTGCTGTTGCGGGCTCGTTTGGTTACATTCCGCCAGGTCTGTATCTATAACGAAAATTTTCTTCGACTTTATGTATTATCGTTGATTTCTTATACGGTTGTCGACGTGATTACAGAGTATGCGTATACGATGCAAGTGACGGCGCCGGGGAACGTTTACAGCTACGGGGTGGTGTTGCTCGAGATTCTTACGAGTCGGCAGCCGGTGGAAGACGGGTTTGGGGAAGGGATTGATTTGGTGAAGTGGGTTCACGGGGCGCCGGCGAGGGGCGAGACGCCGGAGCAGATTTTGGACGCGCGGCTGAGCACGGTGTCGTTTGGGTGGAGGAAAGAAATGCTGGCGGCGCTTAAGGTGGCGCTGCAGTGCACGGACACAACGCCGGCGAAGAGGCCTAAGATGAAGAAAGTTGTGGAGATGTTACGAGAAATCGGGTCGGAATAATCGGTAACTATGATAAGACAAGGCAAGACGAGAAGACAACCTTAACCGATCAGAATGCTCTGAGTGATTCTTGTTTGCTTGATTATAACGGAGATGGAGATGCAAATGGGCGAAGTTATTTGTGATTTGTAGCGGTGAAGAAAGTAGGAAGGAGCGATTTATTGAATATATTTAGCTCGATCGAACGTTATGGTTGTCGTATATATATGTTGTACTTTTATTGTCGTTGAAAAATATGCTCGTTGATTCTTTGGTATTGTTACCTTATCATATCATAGTATTATTATTATTATTATTATTATTATTTATTATTAATAATTAGCAATAACAGTGACAATAGTGGTTTGGAGGCTTGTGTTCGAAAACTTTGCAGAAACCTCCTTTGCCGCAATTACTGTCCAAACATGTTTGGTTGCATTTCGCATTATCTTGCCGAGGATCACAACGACCGATATGATTGTCATAACAACATTGCACCTTCGCATTCACCATATTAACATTACCTGCGTCCATATACATGCAAAATCGTAAGCTTTGGTCTTTTATCTACAAAATTTCAAATATATTTTCTCCCAAAAGAATAATATATTACACACATTTATTATTTTTATATTATTTATACAATTTTTTTATAACTTACATAAAAATATTTTTTCAAACCAAAAACAAAACAAACACCCTCATATTAGTTACCGTCATACATTAATACAATATTTCGTAATTTGTGCTCTTTTTTTTTTTTTTCTCAATCATCTAAAGATATTTTTATTTTTTTTAGTGAAAAAACTATACAATTTTCGTCATATAAGAAGATGCCATTTGTTTTTTTTTTTGTCATTATATTTAATATTAAAAATATTTTAATATTTATATAATTTACTTTAGAAATATCATTGCATTTGTATTATAAGTATTTTTTATTGATTTATACTACGATATTAATATAATATTCCCCATGTCATTCAATTTTGTATTCATTTGACCGGGCTCTAATAGGTAAAAATAAAATTTTTTACTTTTTTGGATAAAAAAAAAGTAGAAAAAGTGATTTTTTACTAAAAAGATAAACGAGAATCAATTTTGATGAAAACCAAAAAAAAAATTGATAATAGATTTGGATGAGAAATTGAGTAATTAATATTTAAAATTTTACACATAAAAAACTCATCATACTTTTCTTATGGACGAAAATAGTATCACTTTTTTGTTATGTATCATAAAAAATAACCAAAAATACAACCTTAAATTAAAATATGTGACGAAAAATTGAGCATCTTTTTTTAAGTGACAAATAAAGCACAACAGAATACAATTATTCATATTTTTATATTTAAATTTAAAAAAATTGATTTATTTTAAATAAAGATAGAAATATCGATGATTTAATAGAATTTTTATAATTTTATTCAAATATATTTGTGTATATATAAGTTTTCAATAAATATATTATTTTATTTTATTTTTATTTTTGATATTTTTATTAAAATAAATTTATACTAAATATCCATAATTAATATACCATAATTAACATACGTAATAAAAACTATAATTAACACAATCAATAAATATTTTTTATATATAAAAGTTGATAAAATTATTAAAATATAATATACTATAATGTATATATAGAATACTTATTTATTCATTTTAAAATTGAATAGTTAATTTACATTTAAATTTAAAAAATAAATTCACTATTATACATATATATTAGTTGCATAACTGCTGATTACATAAATTTTAATTTTTAACTTTAAAAGAAAAGTTATAAATATATTTTTTTATATACAAATTTAACGGATGCATAAAAAATATATATAAAAAAATATTTTATGAAAAAAATATATATAAAAAAACACGAATTTCTCACTAGTATATATATATATATATACATATATTTTGACAAACTAACCTGTTGAGAAGCCGAAAAGAAGTGCAGCTGCAAGCACGAACAAAACCCTAATTTTAGCCATGCTTATTAAATTAATTGATGTATTTTTAATTCTTTAACTAATTCTTGCAATAAAACTAATTGAATATATGATTGATGCATTCTTAATTTTATTAGTAACTTGATGAAATTTTCTATATTTATATGTGGCCATTGATAATTATTATTTATACAATTTTTTTTCCATTCATATATAATAATATCTCCAATTATAATTTTATAATTTCATTACTTAATAATATTTACCCAAGCCAGCCGAAATCAATTTCTTTCCATTTATATTTTGTTCATATTACTTAATAATACTATTACCCAAACCAGCCGAATCAAATTATTTCCTTCCACATCTCCGGCGGCGGCTGGCAGTGACGGAATCAACATCCGAGCTCGGAGGGCAAAATGTTCGTTAAAAATTTTAATATTCAATTAATAAATAATATAATATTTTTAAATTTTTTTAAAAAAATCAACGTCATAAATTGAAAATATTAAAAAAAGGATAATTTATGTCTTTAAAATTCTATTTTAATATCGTTTCATAATGAAATTATTTTTAATTTTCACAATTTTTCTTCTAAGAAACTAAAATAAAAGAGAGAGAAAAAAAACTATAAAAATAGCTACATGAATATTATAAGATTTATTTTTTATTTTTTAAAATTAAAAATTAATACTCCCATATTATTATTATTAGTATTATTATATAAAAGAGATCGGTTGGGCTATTTTATCATATATATTTTTTTATTTTTTTAATAAAATAAAATTATATTAAATGATATTAAATATATCATAATTAATAAAATTGTAATTAATACATATTTAAAGATAATAAAATAATTTATTTAATTTTATGATTAAAGTAAATTATAATAAATTAAATTTAAATTAAATACGCACAATCAATAAAATTATAATTAACATACTTAATAATATTATAACTAATACAATTAATAAATATTTTGACAATTAAAAGAATTGATAATATTATTAAAACTATTGTATAATATTATATAATAATTCTTTATTTATTTTAAAATTAAATAATTTATGTTAGTTTAAAAATATTTTAACTTATTTTACAAATGTATTCTCTATTATACAAACATATTTATATAAAACTTATATAATTATTATTAAGTAATTTTTAATGTATAACTATTATATTATAATTATATATTAACTAGATAATGTTTAGAGAATTTTGATATTTTTAATATTTTTATTTTAATATTTTTAAATAAAAATAATTATTAATAATATATTTTACATAAAATATAATTAAAATGTTAATTTTGCAATATTATTTGAATAAATTTTTAATTATTACAATCAAATACTTGCTCCGTCCAAAATATCGTGCAATATTTGTGTTTGACACAGAAATTTAAGTGGGGAGTATTAAATATGATAATTTGAGATAATTTGGATATTAAGTGATGTAATTGGAGAAAGAAATGATTTATTTTTTTATTTTTATTTGAACCATGCGATGAGATAAAGTAAATTATATATTAATATATGTATATAAATATTATTAATTATTTCTAAATTTGAAAATATTGCAGTGAGTTTAAAATAAATAAAAATAAAATATTGCATAGTGTTTGGAACCAAGGGAGAACAAAATATAATAATTACTATTATTATATTAATTACTATAATTAATATAATACCATTAACATTATATAATTATAGTCGATATAATTAATGCAATCATAATTAATTAATATATTTATGAAAATTTAAAATACTTATAAATATTATATACTTGTCACATCACTCTATTTTATATTTTTAATTTATTTAATACAATTATTAAATATTCTTAAAAATAAAATTATGATATAATTATTAAATCTATAGTATAATATTTTTTTTTTCATTTTAAAATTGAATAATATGTATTTAATAAATAATAAAATTCGTTACAATTAAATAATAAAATTTATTTTAAATATAAATAAATTTTAATCATGATAAATGAAATAAATTTTAATATTTATAGAAGGAGGTTATCGAAGGTTAAAGATATGATTACACTTAATTAACATCGATATTAATAACGAATTTGATGACAATCTTTATTTCGATGTCTATAAAAAAGGCTTTATAGGCACCTATTTTATACGCACCACGAGCATTTTTTTCTCCCTCATATTCCTTTATTTTTTTTTCTCATTTTCCGGCATTATTTCCGGCGAGTCTCCGGTTGATATTCTGGCAACTCTCACTTCTTGCAATACAACTCTGTTGTTCCCATTTTAGTTCGTTTAAGTTCTAGAATATTGGAATATCATATAATTTGGAGACGATAAGTTAATATACTTTTGGGATCATTGCGCCACAAACTAGAGATATTACAAAGCATATTTGTTATATACATTTGGTGGTCTTGGATTGATACTAAGATGTTAATTTTTTATTAATAATAATTATATATTCTAAAATTCCATTTTATGTAAAATATACATGATCTTTTATTTTATTTCTAATAGGTTTTTGTCGATTATGGTATTTATCGTATTATCATTAATAGATTTATTTGATTTTGTGATTGCTTTCAAATAGGAACACATTTTTTTTCATATATATATTTTTATAGACTTCAATCTCATATTAATTTTATTTATTTCTCTGTAAATGTATTATTTGTGGACTGTAGTTGTATTGCAAAAATATCGATTAAAAAAGTCACAGTCTTAAGCTCTTATATTTGTGCAAGTTATGATTTTTTTATTATTTACCGACTTCTCCACCGAGTTAGAAGACTTATAAAAATATTTCATAGCAATCATTCATATATATATATTTATATACTTCATATATATATAAATTTATTTATATTTTTTGAATTATATATGATTAAGTTTATTCATATTTTTTATATTAAAGTTTTTAAAAAATATAATTATGGAATAATAATCGACTTAAATAGTAGATAAATAATATAAGATTAAGTTAAATATAATTATATATAAAATAATTGCTTAGTTAAAAAAGTTACATATTTAATTACATAAAAATTGTATTGGATGTTATATATATTAAATAAATTGTGATAAATCAACTAATAAATTCAATTGATGTACATTATGGAATAATAATTAAGATAAATAGTAGTAGATGATAATATAAATTTAAATTAAATATAATTATATAAAAATGGATTACTTAATAAAAATATATAAAAATATTTTAACACAATTTTATTACATTTATCGTATAAAAAGTGAAAAGTTTTATTTAAGATATGTAGCTCATTAGATAAAAATTGATGTCAACGATGACGATATTA